CCTGCCACATGTGCGCCCCACCCTGCCACACGTGCCCCACCCTGCCACACACGCCCCACCCTGCCACACATGCCCCACCCTGCCACACATGCGTCCCACCCTGCCACACATGCCCCACCCTGCCACACCTGTCCCACCCTGCCACCCCTGTCCCACCCTACCACCCGTGCCCCACCCTGCCACACCTGTCCCACCCTGCCACCCGTGCCCCACCCTGCCACACCTGTCCCACCCTGCCACATGCGTCCCAGCCACACACACACCCCTCCCTGCCATCCTTGGGTGGAATGCCCAGAACACCACTCACAGCTTGTGGTTCAGGTCAATGCTTTCTTGGTTTTTTTTTCTAAGATTTATTCATTTATCTGAAAGGCAGAGCTAGAGGGAGAGACAGAGAAAGATCCGTTCTCAGCTGCTTTCGCAGGTGCATTAGCGGGGAGCTGTGCTGAAAGGGGACGGCTGGGGCTGGGGCTGGGGCTAGCGGTCATGGAGTGCGGCTGTTGGAGGTGGCAGCTGTCACCCACCGCACAACACTGGCCCAGGTCAGTGCCTTAAACATGACAAACAAAACCTCTCGTGACCTGGCCCCTCCATTCTGGCTTCACCAAGCCTGAGAGTCTCTTACCACCGGTCGATCACCGGGTCGATCTGCACCTAGTGTAGAAGGTGAAAGGTACAATGCGCGTGGAGCCCAGGGTGTTTGAATGCCACTGTTAGCCTCGCCTTCCACAGCACCACGGGAGAAACCAGGGCTGGAGGCTCAGGACGACACGAGGACCCCATCGTGAGCTGCCTCGCGGGTGCCAGAGGCGGCCCCACTGGGCCCCACGTGTGAGGGTGGGGATGGTAAGTGCTGGGAGGGGATTTCTCAGTCGGACGTGGCCTGAGGGGGGAGGGGGCGTTTTGAGTCTTGTGTGAGAAACAGGAGGTCGAGAGGTGGGGCAGGGGAAGGGTCTTCCAGGGCCGGGGGAGATCCACAGCCCTGCACACTGTGGGCGCCAGGGGCTTCGTTGTCTGCAATTTAGATGCTGGGCCAGACTGAGAGGGCGCAGGGTGTCAGCTCGATGGGTGTGTAACCAGTGTGCCGGCAAGCTGCGTGATGTCCTGCGCCAGTCCTCAGCGACGGCGTGGGAGAGCTGGGTGCCCCTCAGCCCTCTCTCAGGTCTGCCTCTCCGGGGACGCCAGCTCCATCGGTCCCTGTGGCGCCCTGGTCCCCTCGCTCTCTCCATCACTGACACCGAACAGCACAGGCGCTCATGGCACCATGGGAGTTGATCAATGACCGCTGTGCGCACAGATGCACCGTCTGGGAGGAGTCAGCGGCTGGAGCCCATGGGGTGGCCGGGGGTTTGTGCCACATGGCAGGTGGCAGGTACACATCGGGGTCATTGTCGGTGACGGCATCTTGGGCACTTGCAGCCCTGAAGACCTGGTCCTTGGAGCGCCTGTGGTTTGGGATCTGTCACCGCCGTCTGCTGCTACAGGACACATTCTCCTCAGAGCAGTGTCTTTCTCACGGGCACCGGCAGCTGTGGGCAGAGCCACGGGGCTTCCGGGCCACCAGCCACGGCGTCTGAGGCCTTGGAGTGCGATCAGATCAGAGCCCACAGGCGGCCTCGCTGTGCTCACTGCCTGCAGGGGGAGGCGTCGGGTTCGGTTGGCCACGGTTAGCCTGACAGAGGCAGCATGCCCAAGTCAATGCTTGGAGAGAGAGAAAAACGTCACCCGTATTCCTTGTCCTACAATTTTAAAATGACGAGAAGGAAAGCCGAGTACCTGGGCAAACACAGTAGCAGTGGAAGCGGAGCCGTCGCGGAGCTGGGAGGCTGGGGGCAGCAGCCCAGAGCCCGGACATGGCGCCGCCCCCTCCCACCCACAGGTGCCTGCCAGGCCCGCAGGAGCTGGGTCCTGGACAGCCTTCGAGTCTGTGTTGTGATAAAAATCCGAGGGGACTCTGATTTCTTTTTTTTTTTAAAGATTGATTTGTTTGAAAGACAGAGTTATAGAGAGGTAGAGACAGAGAGAGAGGTCTTCCATCTGCTAGTTCACTCCCCAGATGGCTGCAGTGGCCAGAGCTGCTCCGATCCAAAGCCAAGAGCTTCTTCCAGGTCTCCCACATGGGTGCAGGGGACCAAGGACTTGGGCCATCTTCTACTCCTTTCCCAGGCCATAGCAGAGAGCTGGATCAGAAGAGGAGCAGCTGGGACTAGAACCGGCACCCATTTGGGATGCTGGCACTTTAGGCCAGGGCTTTAACCCACTGCGCCACAGCGCCCGCCCTGGGACTCTGGTTTCAACACTGAACCTCCTAGCCCAGCCTGCAGTGGCATTCTGGGGCCACCCTCAGGCCCCTGTGCCCTTGGCAATGATTTTGCGATGCTGGGAGCAGCTTTCCTATCTCACAGCACATGAGAACAAAATTAGTTTGGCAGATGTGAAGAGAAATACAGCAATAGCTATGTTTAAATATAAAAAAAAAATGCCAACCGCAATTATCCCCTTCTTTTTATAGCTTTAAAACTCCTACGGTGATCGAAAGCTTCGCTGCTTCTGTCAGGGAAGCCGCTGCCATGTGCAGTTTCACTGGCAGCTGTTTAAACGCCAGCTCCGTTCTGTGCAGGAGCTGTCGCAGGTCACTGCCTGAAACACACACTGTGTTGCGTGCGAATCGCTGTGGCTTCGTTCAGGTTGGGTTTCTGAAGAGATCCCTGTCATGGCAGGTGAATCTCAGACCGCGGCCGTGAGCTGCCTCCGAAGGCGGCCGTGGTCTCCGGCGAGCACTGACGGGCCCGCCTCCCTCTGCAGGGCATGCTGTGGGGTGCAGCTTCCCCCGCGCCCCCCACTCCCGTTCTCCATGAGGAAGAGCTCCGGGAAGGCGCCGTCCCAGGCCCGCGGCCTGAGCTTCCCCTGCCTGGTCGCTTGGCTGGGCTCCGAGGCCACAGACGTTTCCTGCTCTAGTGCAGCCTGCAGGGAGAGCCCGTGCGCAGCTCTGGGAGGAGACGGCGTTCTGCCTCAGCACCCGCAGGGGCCGTCGGCCAAGCGCCTCCCCTGCCGTCAGAGCTGAGATCCGGAGACATCGATTTGCTCTGCTTGGTCTCCGACGTCTTCCGACAGTCCTCTTGCTCAGTTACAAACCTGCATCTGCCACCGGAGACCTTGCCCTTCCTGCCCAGCCACGGGTGGCCAGGGTGGCCAGGGTGGCCAGGGTGGCCAGGGTGGCAACTCGGCTTTCAAAGCACTTAACTTGAAACCTAACCTGCGACCAGCTGGTCGACCAGTCTCCTGAAACAGCAGTCCTTTCACAGAAGCCCCGGAAGAGAAGAGGCTGAGGGTGACGGGGCTGTGACAGGACACCCAGGGTTCAGTCGAGGTGGGATGGGCGCCCCACATGGGCCTGGAGGAGCCGCCTGTCACCGCAGCCTCCGTGCACCGCGTGGTGCACACCTCCCGCGACAGGCATTCCACTGCGGTCGTGTTTCTGTGCGTAAGCTCTCTGGGGTCTCCCCGTCTGTCCGGCAGGCGCTGGTTCACAGTAGGCACTCCAATGGCTATCGCTGCCCACCTCGTGTTCTGCCCATCAGGGTTCCTCACGGCCAGCGCTGACATTTGGAAAAGGCGCATGCACCTTTCAGATCCGAGCTGGGACGCAGCTGTCTCCACAATCCGCCCCTCACCCCGTCCCTGGGCTCCAGGGTGGGATTCTGTGCCTTGTGGGGAGCTCAGGCCGTCCTCTGTGCCGCCGTCATAGCATCTAGCTGTGTCGGACTCAGGAAAGCGGGAGAAACCCAGGAACGCAGTGGCTGCGTCCTGCTCCCGACGGAGTGCCCTGCCTGGGATAGTCCCTCCACACTGCTGCATACACACATGCGTGCCTACATCTGCTGAAATGCATCCCTTCTGCTAATGAAATCCTGTTATTGATTAACATTTATTGGGGGAAATCGGTGAAATTTCCAGCAAGCATTCTTTTTTTTTTTTTTTTAATAAAAGAAGATTTACTTATTTATTTGAAAAGGCAGTTACAGAGCTAGAGAGAAGGAGAGACAGAGATCCTCTCTGCCTGTTCACTCTCCAAGTCACTGCAACGGCTGACGCTGGGCCAGACTGGAGCCAGGAGCTTCTCCCAGGTCTCCCACATGGGTGCAGGGGCCCGAGGACTTGGGCCATCTTCTGCTGCTTTCCCAGAGCAGAGAGCTGGATTGGACGAGGAGCAGCCGGGTCTTGAACTAGCGCTCATATGGGATGCGGGCAATATAGGCTGCGGCTCTATCCAGTATGCCACAGTGCCAACCCCTCTATGCAACTCTTTTCCATCTTTGTAACAACTTCTCTCCTTCAAGACTGGAGGAAGCAGGTACACACACAGAGGAGACACTGGTGGTGTTGGGTAGGTCAGTGGGTGGACCAGAGACCCACAGTGACAGCAAACGAGAGAATGACGGGATGGACACCAGGGCGTTGTCCTGTCACAGCACCTCCTGTCTCCCCTCCCTTGTCCTTGACTTTAAAACAGGAAGTGTTGGCCCACAGATGATTCCAGTTGACTTTTCCTATGTGAGCTATCTAACCCAGTTACTGATTTCAAAAACATTTGAGTTGTCTAAGAAAATATATGAAGATGACTTTCAAGAGTAATAATTACTAATTAGCCTGTAATGTTGTAGTCTGTTCATTTTATTTTGACCCTGGTGCGCAACAAGCACCCCAAAGTGAAAAGATGCGGAGGATTGCCCCGCCTCCTGGCGGTTGTACCAGCCACGTGGCGAGTGTTTACGGGATTCAGAGTTCAGAGTTTGGAAGAGAAAGAGTGGTTTTTCCTCCATGCGTACGGGCATTCAAGCCCAGGCCCGGTAAATGCCTCCCCTCTGCTGAGTAAGCAGGTCTTGGGGCGCTGGCTCGCAGGCCCGCCGCCTGGTTTGGCTGTGCCATCTTTACCGTGCAGGCGCCTGCTAGCCTCCTCCTGCTAAACGCACGTGACTGAGAGGCTTTTCGTGTTGTAGGATCGTGGAGAAGGGGTACTACAGCGAGCGCGACGCCGCCGACGCCGTGAAGCAGATCCTGGAGGCCGTGGCTGTGAGTACGAAGGGGTGGCCTGGGCACCCTGGCTCCGCGGAATCGCCGCCCAGGGAGTGCGTGCCGGCGCCAGCCGGTCTGTCTCAGCAGAGGGGCGCAGAGCAGCAGCAGGTGCGGCACAGAGCGGAGCCCCTGGCGGCGCAGCCCTCCTAGCACGCAGGAGCTGGTTAAAACTTCCTGTGCTGCGTCCCGCTGTCACGTCAGACGTCAGGGCCCTGGCTGCTCCTGCTCTGTTCCTGTGCCTCGAATCGGTGTCCTTATTGTGTTTGCTGTTTTCTAGTTCAGGGGGAAGTGGAGGGAGTTTGAATGTGATAAATATAGACCTTGGACATAGGTATTTGATTTTTCTTTCAAGACACTCAGGGTAAATTTCATGAAATGCTTGAATTAGAAGGAAAACTTGGGTAATTTATTGTTTTTAAGGAAGAAATCTTTCAAACAGGAACACAGATTTTTGTAAATGCACACTCATTTCCACATGGACACACTCTGTCTATGTGGATTTCAGGAGATATTTGCCTACATTGAGCATCTACACTGGTTAGAACCTTCTCGTATACTTAGTGGTGCCCAGCACCTTCTGGGGATCATTGCTGATTTGTTTACTGAATGTAGAACCAGAAAAAAATTACTCTCTGAACAACCAGGGCAGAGCCCAAGGGGGCTGTTCCCAGGGCGCGTTAGAGGCGAATCTGTAAGATATGCCCGGAAGACACATTCTGTCAGTCAGCCACAGTGGCACAAGCACTCTTCTGGGGAGCTTAGCAGAGCAGAGCTGGGGGAGGGAGCTCGCGCTGCTTGAAGACCAGTGATGAGAAGGGGCACACACCCCCGGCCAGGCTTTGCAGAGGGCTCCTGTGATTGGTTTAACCAAAGCCCTCACTGGTTGGTCAGCACCAACTGCCGGTATCTACAGCTCGGACCTCCTGGAGGATCCCTTCCTGTGAGGGGCTTCGGTCTTTGCTGTGGGGTGGGTTAGGGTGGGAGTTTGGACGGGAGTGAGTCGCAGCAGGAGCACAAGCCGTCACGCTGTACCCAGTGCACAGCACAGCTGCTGAGGGTGTGGACCCTGGACATTAAGTTCCTCCCCTCACTGGACCCCGGGTGGCCACCGCTCTGGAGTTTTCGCCATCCTGATGGTTGCGGGTGCTTGTCCACCCTTAGATCCCCTCTCTCGCTGTCCTAACAGCCTCTTTCCAACCTCAGTCGAGCCTCCTGCACGTGCTGAACCTAATCCCATTCCCCACCATTCCTTGACTTTCTCTTTCTTTACAAAATAATTCTAGTTGCTTCCAATTCTTATTTGTAAACATGTAAGTCTAGAATTGTCTCTCATGATTTTTGTTTTTTCATTTGTAAGTTCAGTAATGGCAGTTTCAGGCCTTAAACCCCATTTTCAGGGAGGGGATTGTCATGGCACAGTAGGTTAGGCTGCTGCTGGGGACACCCACATCCAGTCTCAGAGTGCCGGCCCAGGTCCCAGCTGCTCTGTTTTCAACCCAGCATCCTGCTTCTGTGCCTGAGAGGCAGCAGACATCCCAGGTACTTAGGCCCCTGCCACGCAGGAGGGATTCCTGGGTGGAGTTTCTGGCTCCTGGAGTCGCCCTAATCTAGCCTTGACCCTTGTGACCATCTGGGAAGTGAACCAGAGAGTGGAAGATTCTCTCAAATTAACAGATCCTAAAATAAAGGCACTATAAAATGTCATTTCTGTTTTTTTTAAGGAATGTTTTTTTTTTTTTTGTAAAGATTTATTTATTTGAAAGAGTTAGAAGGAGAGACAGGTCTTCCATCTGCTGGTTCACTCCCCAGATGGTCACAAGAGTCAAGGCTGTGTCAGGCACTTATTCTAGGTCTCCCATGGGCAGCAGAGATCCAAGCACTTCGGCCATCTTCCACTGCTTTTCTCAAGCCATTAGCAGGGAACTGGATTAGAAGTGGAGCAGCTCACACCCATATGGGATGCCGGTGTTGTAGGTGGCAGCTTTACCTACTATGCCACAAAGCTGGCCCCCAAACTTCAATTCTTCATTCAAATAAACTTGCTGGCCAGGACCCGCTGTGCCTTTCCCAGGTCAGGCAGGCAGTGGGCGTGGCAGGCTCGAGTACCACCGGCCTCCAGCAGCAGCTTGGGGTTCTGCGTATAAGGACGTGGGCATCGAGCACTGATTCCTTGTGTAACGTGGTGGGGGCGGTCAGCTGTGAGGGTGAGGAGACAGCAGATGAGACTCCGTGTGGAAGCCACAGTTGTGGTCAGGAGGGGAGTGGCAAGGGTGGGCTGCGTCAGACCTGGGAGCATCACGTTCACATGGATGTGAATGCCCTACAGAGAACCCGACTCCCAGCTAAGAACTGAGGTGCAAAGCAGTCGGGTCGTGTGTTCCGGGGTCTGGGGGCTGCGATGTCACTGCAGTGCGGGGACTCCTCAGGAGAACTGACCTGAGCGCTTCGAGCCTACATGCGGCGTGGGTGGCAGGCGGAACCCCCAGGAGGGCTGCCCGGCTGCACAGCCAGCTCCCCTCCTCCTGGGCTGCTGCCACTCAGCCTCCCAGAGCGACGCGTGTCCACCCCGTGTCAACGATAACCAGGAACTCAGCTCTGACTAAAATGGATACAAAGATCACTCGACCTTGATCCCAAGCTCGGGCAGAGGCTGTGTGCGGCTTAGCGCGACTCCCTGGTCCCATTTGCTGAAGCTGAGGGAGAGCAGTGCCCTGCCCGAGTGGGGCTGTCTACAGGGGAGGGGCTCGCACCGGAAGGCGCACCTTCCACTTCCGTCTGTTGGCACCCGTTACGCTGCTTCTGTGTTCTCACATTCGTCCTCTCTGGATTTCCGCTGGATCCTGGATCTGTTCTTCACGGCTGGATCCTGGATCTGTTCTTCACGGTGGTCTGCTGGCCACACAGGCCTGACTTCACTGGGAACGTGGTTTCATTGCGTAGAAGCCCCAGCGCGCCTCCCATGGGAGCTGACTTCAGAGACCCTCTCGCTCGCCCTCGCATCCCGCCTCTGTGGCTCACGTGCATGTCCTGCAGTAATAAGGCCAAGATTCTCTTGTTCCCTGATGATGCCAGCGTGGGATTCTGACAGCACCTGCTCCCCGCCACGTGTCCATCTGAATGGCCATGTCAGTCAACCATCGTTTGCTGAAATCCTAGAGCTCACCCTGTGTTTGCTGACCTCACATCCCCCAAATCCCATCAGTACATCCTGTCGGTCTACCTCCCAGTCAGGACCTGAGTTTGACCATTTTCCATCCCTTCCCCAAGCTGCCACTCCTGTCTCCCACTCACTGAGAAAGCTTGTAGCCTCCAGCCCACGTCCACTGTCCGAAGTCCCTCTCGCCGTCATAACGGTGTTGTGGTGTTGGTGTCACCCCACCGGTGGCACCCCGTTGGACGTAGGATACAATCAGAATTCCTTAACCAGTCCTTGGAGTTCTGCGACCACGGCCCCTTCCCACACCCTGGCCTTGCTGTGTAAACCTCTCCTCTCCCCCGTTGTGTGTGGGCCACACTGGCTGTGCTTCTGACGCCCAGAAGGGCCTGCTCAGTTCCCTGATGGGGCCCTTGCTATTTCTCCTCCTGGAGGCTTGTGCCCAGCGGGTGCTTGTTGATCGCGTGTTTGAGGATCAGCGCGCTGTGACACAGCCACCATTCAGCACTGTGCTTTCTACAGGGTGGTGCCTGTTCTAAACGTCTCCTCTCTTTCTCCATCTGTTTTATATGGAGCAAGGCTTCGGTGCATGGAATTCTTCCCATCATTGCATTCTTTTCCTGTCATTAAAACTCAGTGTCTCAGCAAGTCATCGCTGGTGTCTCCATCCGTTCACACGGCGGCCACGCTTCCATTGTGTGATGCACGGGAAGCCGTCTGGGAAGCGTGCGTTCCTCTGTGCGAGAGGTGGGCTTCTCAACATCAGAACGTCCCCTCTTAGAATTGCACCAATTAAGTCTCAAATGGCCCCAGTAGGGGTGCTCCAGCCAGGGGTACCCCCCAGAACAGGGGCCAGAGTTCCTAGGACTGTTCCAGATGTGCAGAAATAATGGTTCAGCTGCTAAGCCTACATTTTTTAAAGTTATTTTTTCCTACTCCCAAAGTGCAGTTTGGGAACTAGGCTTATGCATGAATTCAAACACTCTTTGAAAGAAGCTTTAGAAACCGGCGGATTTTCTCTGACTTCTCCAAGTAAAGGTTAGCTTGAAGAAAAAACCTCCTCCTTGATGTTTCGCAGGTAGCCAGCAAGGCAGCTGGGAACACTGAGCAGTGGCTGGCATTTGTGCAGTAATTCATCATCCACCACCTTGCCAAAGACGGCTTTGCAGTGGGCAGTCAGGAGCTCCGGCGTCAGAGTGCCGCTCACGGCTGCTCTGGCCCGCGGCCGGGATGCTGTGCGGCTCCTCGCAGAAGCAGAGGGCTGCAAGATGGAAAAGCTCCGGGAAACACATCGCAGGTGTCTCATGTCCCTCACGCAGCACGGCTTGCCGCCCCCCGCCCACCCCACTTCTTGCCCCTGGACTTTACATATCTGGCGGTACGTCTCTGAGTGGAGCCTGCTCCTTCTGCTTTTTGGGCTTTAAATAGCATTTGTGAAAGCTGCGGATGGGAACGTGAAAGCTGTTTCCCCTTTGCACTGCAGTTCCTGTAGTTCGCCTTTGACGGCAGCTCCCTAAGCCTTCTTGAATGTTCTCTCTCCTTGAAGTGAGTCCCGCTGCTTCCTGGTGAGATGGCCCAGGTCCGTGTGGACCCTCTGGAGGGGTCTGCTCCCCCGTACTTGTGGAGACGGCCAGGGCCAGCCGTCTGCTCCGACAGCTCTCGCTGCGCCCGTCCTTGGTCACGGCCGACACCCGGCCACTCCTCCGCTTGGAAACAGTCGTCGGCCCCTACTGCTTCGTGTCCCTCATCCAGCCCGGCTCTCTCAGGAGGGAGTTCCAAGGCCACGGCCTGGTGGCCTGGAGCGAGTTGGGCCTGTGCAGTGTGGACCTGACCTGACACGTCC